AAACCGAGCCTGCAGCGAAAACAACCTGAACAAACACGCAGGCAAGCCCTGTCTGTTCTTTTGCTAAAATTGGACGCCCACTCGTGTCTGCGCACATTGGCCACCCGCGCGTTTCCCCCCTTCTGGCAACTTCTCCTTACCTTCTTCGGGCTTCCTTTCTTCTTCTCCTCCCCATGGTGGTAAACAGGCATTTGCAGAAAGTCCTCTTCACAGCAGATGAAGCTCACCGAGCATCCCATCCGAGCAAAGCCAGAGCGCACACGTCCAAACCCATTCAAAGACTCCCAGCACTCGGTGCCCTTGTTCTCTCACGCCACTGCTGCAGCTGTAGGCGCACTAATTACTGCTTCATTCCGCTTAAACGCATCGTGAATCGGCGCAGTCTGTGCGGCATCACTGTGAGCTGTTTGGGGCGCGGAGAAGTTTCCAGGAGTTTGTCGCACTTGTTTTCGCCCGCACGCGCAGACTGAGCGCTTCCCACTGCACACTGTGGAGGACGAACAGGTAGCCTGCAGCCTTAAACACTGAAGGTGTTCTTCCCTCCCTCTCTCGCTCTCTCTCTTCACTTCATTTATTCGGACAGTACACACTAGCTGTGTTACATTACTGTAAAGACTGAAACACGTCCATTTTTGTCCTAACAGGTACAATCCACACCAATGCTCTCCCTCCGCCTTCCCCGGGGTAATTATCTGACCTCCAGGTAAACATGTGCAGGGGTGTGTCCAGAGATTGGCGGCATCAGGTGGTACAGGCCCAAACTTATTCTACTGCTTTTTTTTGTTTTTGTTTTAATGAGTTCCAGTGTTTGACATATTCTTTAATGTGTATTTAAAAAGGGATGACGCTGCATCCTGTGACAGGTGAACACACCTGCCAGGACATGTTTTAGTATTATACTGTCATGCAGCTTGTTTTACACTATAGATTTAAAGCATGCATATTATTTAATAATACAAGTTGCATGTCCTTCTTACACAATGTCAGTCTTACTTTAACTGTTTCACTTAACTTCAATTTTACTTTCCTTGTTTGTTTGTTTTATCACTGTTGTAAATACATAAATTCCTGCACTATCTCATAGTATGAGGTCCTGTGTGTGGCACTTTTATTTTAACCTTGTTGTTTATTGTTGTGTATTGTAGACTGTTCTATTTTTACTCTTTATCATGCTACTGTAACACAAAACTTTCCCCTGTGGGATCAAAGTATCTAACTTACTATCTATTATACTACAACTGCAGAATAACAATATTGATAAGATGGTGTGTCAGCTGTTATAAAGTCTCAGTAACGCCTCCTGAGGCTGGTTATATTGGAAAATTTGACCAGACTGACAAAAACTAAGGATGTTTCCTGTTTATTTTCATTTGTACTTTTAAGGAAGTTTAAATTTAAAGAAAAGTTTCACACATACTTTTAAGTTCTGTTTTAGTTCACTGTAATAAGATAGTACCACACCCCCTGAAATATAATTACCTGGTTTTAATGTACATGTGCTTTATTTAGTACAACCCCAGTTCCTGAAAAACGTTGTGAGTCACTGTGTAAAATGTACATTAAAAACAGAATGTAATGTTCTATAAATCTCTTAAACCCATATTTTATTGACAATAGAACATACTAAATGTTGAAACCGAGAAAGCAGCACATCTCATAAAAGTTGGGACAGCGCCATGTTTCCCATCGTGTAGCATCCCCTCTTTTTTGAACTACAGTCTGCAAAAATATGGGAACTGAGGAGAACAGCTGAAGGACTTTTTGGGAGATGAATGTTGTCTCATTCTTGTAGAGGACCATAGCTGCTCAACAGTCCTGGTTCAGCTTTGTCGCATGTTTCATGTCATGATCCTTCAAATGTTCACAGCTGTTCAAAGCTCTGAACTGCAGACCGGTCAGTTCAGCACCCAGACTCTTGTAGTATGAAGCCATGCTGCTAGAAGAGCTGCAGTATTTGATTAAGCATTGTCTTATTGAAATATGCGTCTGGATCCAAATGTATGTTCCTCTAAAAGCTCTGCATACCTTTTAGCATTGGTGGTACCTTTCTATCATCCTTGAATGATAGAGCTTTAACCTGCATTTGTGAACGGCGTAGTGAACTGTTTTCACGGACAGTGGTTTGTGCAAGTGTTTATGGCTGTTTTGATGCAGTGCAGTGCTCCATGAGGCATCCAATAGTGATTTTCAGCCTTCCTTATGCACAGATTTCTCCAGGTTATGTTAAAAATATTATGTAGTGTAGCTGATTAGATATTGTACTTTATACCATTTACTTTATAGCTTTAATTTAATTGCATTATTTAAAATTACCTGGCAGTAAAGAAGTAATCAAAGTCATGTCCTGTTGCAACATTAAATTGATACTCTGTGCATTCAGTTATGAAATGTAGATGATTCTGCACAATATGTACTTTAAGTATAAAATTAGTTGCTTTGAGTATACTATCCTGCTATTAAGTAGCACAATAGAGTAAAAAATATCAGGAGACAGTCGATGAAAGTTAAAAAGAAATTCCTGTGAAATATTAATTTTACTATTAGAATTTAAGTTTTAGTTTTTTAGCTCATTACATGGATTTTTTGATTGCTGGTTGAACACTAGGTGCAAAACAAGCAATAAAATCTTCCAGTGTGCTGTATTTTAATTTGTAACTTTGTAACTGAGACAAAAGATTTGCATTTCTCAAATCCATAAAATCCTTCAAGCGCTTCAGTTTTAGTTCTTCAACCCTGGTGTGAGGAGTTTGCAGAGTGAATGAATCTCTGGGGTATGTAGTCAAGTGAGGTTAAAGGGCTTTTCATGCAATGATGCTTCCCCCTGCTGGATCATTTGTAAAGTAGTGACCAGAGTCAACAGAGCTGCTCGCTTTTAACCTTTCTTTAACCTGTCTTTCTATTGGATACAAAAATACTTACAAAGCTGCACAGCTATCCTCCATAACTTTCTTCTATTCCTGGACACTATCCTGTGTAACGCTGTGTGAGACTGTTACATCATTTCAAAGTCGGTTTATTGTCTTGTAAGTGTATATGTCACGTAATGTACTTGAAAATAACGATGGGAAAGCCGCACAAACTTCAAGCAGTTATTTCCTGCACCCAGTCTCTTTCCTGAATCTTTTACCTGCCACAGAAATCGATTTATGTTCAGGAAAGATGGTGAATCTCGGTGAACTTCGATAAGAACCGACAGCGGTTTTAGACCCTGAAACTAAGGAAGCAACAACATGAAAACCAGATTACCAGAAGTACTAAAACATATTACTGAGGACACTAATAGACTATGAGAGGACGGACATACAGAAATATAAGAGGTCCAGGACCTTGACAGCATCCACGCTGAACGTAAATGAGCTGGATTACCCCCAAGATGTAACCGTGAGGATGCAAGGAGCAGAAATACTGAAGGTGAACAAGTTTAAGTACCTGGGGTCAACCATCCAAAGCAACGGGCGATGCACAGGAGAGGTGAAGAAGAGAGTGCAGGCAGGGTGGAATGGGTGGAAAGGAGTGAAAGGGAAAGTTTGCAACATGGTAGGGAGACCTGCCACAATGTATGGTTTGGAGTCAGTGGCAGGAGGCGTAGATATGGAGAACATGCAGACGATTGGTATGACAGAGGCAAATGCTATGGACAGGGTGGCAGATAAAGCCAAAGCTGACAACACTTCAATAAAAACCGAGACTCCGATCGATGCACGAGAAGAAGAAGCACACTTTTTTTCTTTTTATAATCTGTACCTACCTTCTCTTGTATCTTCAGTAACAATGCCGAAAATGTTATACCTTCAGATTTCCCCGTTAGAAAAAGCCAATTAATTGCTTCCATTTAACACTACAATTCAACCAGTATTTTTTGACTGAATAATAAAGCCTATCTATGAAAAGCCTTCAGCTGATCCAACATGCTGCAGCTAGAGTCCTGACAGGGATTAGGAAGAGAGAACATATTTCTCCCATACCGGCTTCTCTTCACTGGTTCCCTGTTAAATCCAGAATCCAATCTAAAATCCTGCTTCTCACACACAAGTTCTTGAACAATCAGTCCCCATCTTATCTTAATTACCTTATAGTACCATATCACCCCATTAGAGCACTTCACTCTCGCATTGCAGGCTTACTTGTTGTTCCTAGAGTATTTGAAAGTAGAATGGGAGGCAGAGCCTTCAGTTTTCAGGCCCCTCTTCTATAGAACCAGCTTCCAGTTTGGATTCAGAAGACAGACACTATCTATACTTTTAAGATCAGGCTTAACACTTTCCTTATATAGCAATCCTAATTAACTTGCTTGATCACGTAACATATAAATTAACACATTAGTACACTGTGCAGATAATAACAGACACAATTACATAGACTTTATCAGAAAAACATTTTACCTTAACAAAGATATATAATTTGAGTAAAATGAAGATGAACAATTAACAGAAACTGAACAATTCACCTCATTCAGTCTTTTGAGTGTACCATGGGTTTCATAACATACTTTCAGACATGTGGCTTAGGTACAAGGTGATATAGAGATTAAAAAGCGTTTTTTCTTTCTCTGTCTCTCTCTCATGCTCACTTTCTTTTTGTCTTGTTCCACTTTCCAGCACATGCTGCTCCTTTTTCTCCAAACTTCTAACAAAGAAAATGTTGTAGTCATTTTAGTTTCCTTCAAAAAGTGTTAACTCAGTTAAAGGTTTTCATGAAGTTAGCACTGTTGCCTCACAGCAAAAAAAGGTCCTGAGTTCGACTCTACCATCAGGCTGGAGTCCTTTCTGTGTGGAGTTGCATGTTCTCCCTGTGTTTGCGTGGGTTCTCTCTGTGTTTGTGTGGGTTCTCTCTGGGTACTCCAGCTTCCTTCCACAGTCCAATGGCATTCAGTTGGTGGGGTTAAGTTGACTGGTGATTCTAAATTGCTCATAGGTGTGAATGTGAGCATGAATGGTTGTTGGATTCTCTGTGTTAGCCCTGCAACAGACTGGCGATGTCTCCAAGATGTACCCTGCCTCTCACCCTGTGGTAGCTGGGATAGCCTCCTGTCCCTGACAAGGACAATAACTGAATAAACTAAATAAACTGCACAGATGGATAAAACCTGTCATACATTGCATTATATATATATACAATAATCATCTTTTATTGAATTGATTAAAAAAAAAACAGTTTAGATGTGTTTTTCTATTAGAAAAAGTTCATCTGATGATTTTCAAATCACGTAAAGGAATGAAAAAATAAAGGAGGTTAAAGATTTTAAGTTTTTAGGAATAATTTTAGATTTACATCTCAAATTTGATAAGCATGTAAAGAAGATTTCAAAGATGGTTAAGGTTAATCTGACTTGTCTTAAGTTAACTCGGCATTACATACCCACTTCAGCACCTCAGTTATTTATGCATTTGTTAAGGGTTCAAATATTGAGGAGGGATACAGGAGGAAATCCAAATAACAACACTGATCCGGCCGGGTCGAGTCAAACGATGAGTTTAATGAACGCACGTGTGGCAGATGAACACTGTACGCAGACAGCATCGATCTCACTCGAACAATACACAATCAGTTGTTTTTATACCTTCAGGGAAATTTATGACGCCCCCTCATGCGTCATCACATACATAAGTTTCAAAACCACAATGACTTTTAACACAGTTTGAAAAAGCAACATCGCCTCGTCTCCATACCAGGTGTCTTCCTGTCGCTGCCGGACGCTCGCTTATCGTCTGGAACATCAGCAGGAGTTCTGCAACAAACTGTTCTTTTCGATTTAACTCAACAGTTTAAAGTGGTTATAACTGCACCTGTAATAAAGGCTAATTGGGTGCCAATATGTTTAAACATCTGAATACAATATCAATGCTGTAGATTATGTTATTAATGCAATGATAATGATGATGACCATGAACAATAGCAGTAAAGTATTTCTCTGATCTCCACACATTCCATGATATTCTCTCATTTTTCATATTTTATGACAGTTTGGACTCAAGCAGCACCATCTACAGTTCAGCATCCTTATATAATCAATCTTTGAAAATAATGGATAAAAAATCTGTTTGGTGGAATCATTGTCACATTTTAAAGAAATATAATTGACTTAGTTTAGGAGCTTCAATCACTTGTGTTGTCTTAAATTACCCTTCAAGTGTATAAATAGGCTGGTCCCAGAGTGTCTTAATAGATGCATCCAAAGACAAGGTAGTAATCGCATTACTAGGAGTATAGTGAATGGCAACCGCAAAATATCATATCGCAGATCTAAATTTGGACAATCAGCGTTTTCCATAAAGGCTTGCCATCTGATATCAAATTGATTACAGATGTTAGTTCCTTTACATTGAAGGTTAAAAGTTAGTTAAAGGGAAATCAGAGCTGTAGTGATTTCAATTAATCTTTTTTTTGTGGGGTTTGTTTGTTTGTTTTTATATTGTCTGTTAATTGTAGCTGTATTCATGGTGTATTTTGGTTTCATGAAAATGTATGTTTTAACTTTGTGTATTGTGAATGTAAGCCCAACAAGGGACAATTGTTGAAAATTAGCTATAGCTGTAATGTTATGTGCAGCACATCAGTTTTATGTTTTATACTTGGACTATGTTAAACTGCACTGTCTGTTTTAAATAAAGAATTATTATTATATCACTAAGTACACTAAGAGATTATGAGAGGATGGATATACAGAACTATAAGCTGACTGCTGCAGT